GGGGGTTGCGGAGAGGGGGATTGCGGAAGAGGCGAAAGGGCCACATTGGGGCGAGTCGTGGGTGTCGAGTGTGGAGTGGTTCGTGTCGTGGCCGCTCAGGCGACTCAGCCACCCGTGGCGCAAGGTTAGCCGTGATTAGTACGAACGCGGTGTGTGTGTGTGTGTGTGTGTGTGTGTGTGTGTGTGTGTGTGTGTGTGTGTGTGTGTGTGTGTGTGTGTGTGTGTGGGTGTGTGTGCGTGTGCGTGCGTGCGTGCGTGCGTGGGTGTGTGCGTGCGCGTGTGCGCGTGTGTGCGTGCGTGCGTACGTGTGTGTGTGTGTGTGTGTGTGTGTGTGTGTGTGTGTGTGTGTGCGTGTGAGTGTGTGAGTGTGTGTGTGTGTGTGCGTGTGAGTGTGTGAGTGTGTGTGTGTGTGTGTGTGCGCGCGCGTGTGCGCGTGGGCGTGCGCGGTGTGCGCGCGGTTCGTCTCGAGGGATGACAGGCTCTCAGAGTCATTTGCGTCTTTCCCTCTCTCCCGTGTCCACCACTCACACTCTCCCCTCACTCCTCTTCCCCCTCGCTCTTCCATGCCCCTCTCCCTTTTTTCCCTCCCATTTGCTGCTACGGGTGGGTTTGGATGTGGGCGCTGCTGTCTTCTCAGCGTCTCTCCGTGCTCACACCCTCCCCCCCCCCTCTCTTCCGCTCCCTCCCTCCCAGCGTCTGCTGTGGGTGTGGGTGCTGGTGGCAGCGGCCATCCTGTCGCTGGTGTTTACAGTGGCATGGCGGCACGCGCAGGCGAACGAGAGGGACGACTTGGAGGCACACTGCGACGAGTGGGCGGCGTTCATACAGGCCAAGTTTAACATCATGGCTGCCAACACACGCTCCATCTCCGACTTTATCCGCGCTTATTACCTCGATAAGTAAGGCCAGAACAGTCTGTGCTTCGCTTCGCTTCGCTTCGTTTCGCCTGCTCTCCGTATGCTTCCTTTTCTTCGCTTCGCTTCACTTCGCCTATCCGCCGTATGCTTGCTTTGCTTCGCCTCGCTTCGCCTACTCTCTGTGTTCTTGCTTCACTCCTCCACGGTCCAGTGCTGGGATGGGAACCTCCCTTTTCAGGCAGGTAGCAGGCCTACTCCACCACACTGCTTCCTCCACCAAACCCGCCCAATCACCTGCCTGACACAACCCCTCCCCCCCCTCCCCCATCCCCCCTCCCCCATCCCCCCTCCCCCCTCCCCCATCCCCCATCCCCCCTCCCCCCTCCCCCCTCCCCCATCCCCCCTCACCCCACTGGCAAGCAGCATGAGGGAGGACTTGCTTGATGTGCCCAAATTCCAGCGCTTCACTCAGGCCACTCTCGTCTCGACCACTGAGCTGACCTAAGAATATATTATCATTCTTCCCCTCCCCCCTCCTCCCCTTCCGCGGGCAAGCAGCATGAGGGAGGACTTGCTTGACGTCCCCAAATTCCAACGCTTTACACAGGCCACTCTCGACAGCCGACCCATGGCGTCATGTGAGTTGCATGTGATATGCTCCATGGCATCATGTGAGAAACATGCGACTTGGCCCATGGCATCATGTGAGGGACATGCGACTTGGCCCATGGCATCATGTGAGGGACATGCGATTTGGCCCATGGCATTATGTGAGGGACATGCGATTTGGCCCATGGCATTATGTGAGGCACATGCAGTGTGACCCATGGCATTATGTGAGGCACATGCAGTGTGACCCATGGCATTATGTGAGGCACATGCAGTGTGACCCATGGCATCATGTGAGGCACATGCAGTGTGACCCATGGCATCATGTGAGGCACATGCAGTGTGACCCATGGCATCATGTGAGGCACATGCAGTGTGACCCATGGCATCATGTGAGGCACATCATGCTAGCTGCAACTGACCTGTTGACTCTCAACCATGGCGTCATGTGAGTTGCATGTGGTGTGACTGATCGACCCATGGCATCATTTGTTTACATGCGAGCTGACCCATGGCACCTGTTGTGCACCAAGTATGTCTCAGTGAGTAGTTTCTCGCTTCTAGTCTTAGAGGTTGAGGGCTCAAGTTGCAGCGCTGCATTTTCCCCTCTCATGTTTTGCTCACAATGACATACCCATACTCCACTCATCCCATGCTCACTTTGTTGGCCCCTATGATGTGTCATATGCTGCCATGTGGGCTGTTGCGCCAGTCGTGAACTTTGTTCTCCTCATCAACAACTCGTTCGTACGAGATGCTGTGGAGAGGAACGCCAACCATTGCATCTACGCCCCCGAGCCCAACGGCACGCTCACCTGCCGCCCGCGCGACCTGCCCCTGTACGCACCGATTGTCATCTTCAACTCCCGCAAGGAGTTTAATGCGCGTGTGAACCTCACAGAAGTCTGCTGCTACGACCTCATGTCAGGTGAATCGAAATGCTGGCCAGTTTTGAGAAGCCTCAAAATTCAAATCTTGAGACGCCTCAAGCCTCACTGAAGTCTGCTACTAAGACCTCATGTCAGGTGATTGGAATGGAAAGGCCGGCCAGTTTTGAAAAGTCTCAAAACTCAAATTCTGAGACGCCTCAAACTTCACTGCAGACTGCTGCTACGACCTCATGTGGAGAGGCCGACCAGTTTTGAGAAGTCTCAAAACACATCTCAAAACTCAAAGTTTGAGACGTCGCAAACCTCACTGAAGTCTGCTGCTACGACCTCATGTCAGCTGAAGTTAAGGGCGTGGCTGTGAGGGCTGCAACTCTCTTGAGAATTCTCAGAAGTAGCTCCAACAGACCTGCCTGCCCCTGTACGCGCCTATTGTCATCTTCAACGCTCGCTAGGAGTTTATTTCGCGCGTGAACCTCACTGCAGACTGCTGCTGCTACGACCTCATGTCAGGCGACTTGAAAGGCCGGGCTGGTTTTGCTGGAGTTGCTTCCGAGGATTTTCACAAGTAGTTCCAAAGTCTAGTAGAACCTCCCACCCGGCCGCCCGCCCGCCCGCCCGCGCTCCTGCCTGCCTGGCGGTTTCTCGAGTATTCACCTTCTTCCCGCCACTCCCCATCCTACTTCCCTGCCTCCCACTGTCACCCATGGGCTCCCACCGCCTCCCACCGTTTCCCATGGCTCTCAGACCCAATGGCAAATGACACAATCCATCGGGCCATCAACTCGGCCTCCTCGGCCACATCTCCTCCCTTCATACGCAAAAACTACACCTACCACTTCATTGCGGATATTTTCCCAGTCTACTCCAACCGCACCACCTTCGCCCTGCCTCCCTCGCCCTCCCCTCCCTCGGTCGCCATCCCTCCGCTCGCCACCCCCGGGGTGCTCCCACAAGGATTTGTCCTCGCGGGGTATAACTTTGCAAACCTCCGATCGCTTGTTGGATTTCAGGAGCTTGTGGAACTAGACGCGAGGGTTTATGTGGTCGATGGTACCAAAGGGGGGGCTTGGGATGGTGCACAGGATGAGATTGCGCAGAATGGGGATGGGACGAATGGGAACGAGCGGGCTAATAGGTGGTTGCCGGCGCTGCTGTTTGATCATGAGGGGGTGGTGGGTGAGGAGGAGATTGGAGCGTGGATGATGGATGGGGAGGGACGGGAGGATGGGGGGAGAGTGCGGCGGCCATTGCACATGGGTGATCCTACGAGAAAGTTCTACCTTTTCTGCGAGTGAGTTGATGTGTTCATGCGGATGGATTTAGATAGATGCATGCACATGTAAGCATGTCGATGGAGGCATTTATGTATTTTTGTGCATGCATGCACCATCCATGCATGATGTATGCATGCATTCAAGTAGCTATATGCATACAATCTTACATGTAACATGCATGCACACAGATATGCACGGAACTTACGCGGATATGCACGTATCCCTCCCATCTTATTGCATACCATTGTTCATGTTGCCTAAATACCCCTCCCCCGCACCTCTCCCTCCCTCCTTCTCTTCCCACCCTCCCACCTCTCACCCTCCCACCTCTCGCCCTCCCACCTCTCGCCCTCCCACCTGTCGCCCCCATCCCACCACAGGCACATCTGATACACGAAGCCGTTCAGCCCCTTTATCTGGATCACAGGGGCCGTGCTCTTCCTTAGCGTCTCCACCATCCTCCTCTGGACGAGCATCCAGCTAATGCATGCTTTCGAGTCTGACTGCCAACAACTAGTTGCCGCCCAACATGAGCTACGTTCCGCCCGCTTGGTGGCCGAGGCAGCGAGCCGAGCCAAGGGTGCGTTCCTCACGACGATGTTGCACGAGATCCGCACACCCATGAACGGCGTGATAGGTAATGTTGTAATATGGTAATGGGAGTAATGTAGTAACACGGTAATGTGGCATTGTGCTAATTGAGGAGAGTCACTCTACAACAGGAGTGGACTACGTGAAAAGTCACACACACGCTGTACGGGTTGGTCGGATCGTTGTCTAACAAGTGTGCATATGTGCGTCACCTACCAAGTAGGTGCAGATTTGCGCAGAAAACGTTTGTCTGCACTGTGCACGTCATGCACTTGAACCACATTGCACATGTGCTAGGTTGTAGCATGTGATGCTTGTCGAGCAGGTCGATTTTCGCTAAAACCGCCTGAACGGAAATTCGCGTACATACTAAAATGCGTCGTCCCGTTACTTGGTTGGCTAGAAGAAGGCCACTAAGTCGGCGCCGACTATTGACGGTCGGCGCCTGATCGATGATTACTTTTGTTTGCCGAGGCTTGACGCCGTCCGCCGACTTCACTTCGTCGGTTAGCGTCTAGTCGGCTTCGCTGTGGTTGGCTTCGCCGAGATCGGCTTCGCTGTGGTCCCGCCGAATTCGATGAAGCAATCTCGCTGACTTCATTTCCCAAGTCGGCGTCGATCACGAAACGCAACCGGCTACACACCTTGCGCACCGGACAGCGAAGTCGGCTTCGCCCAAGCGAGGGCGGAGCCTTCTCTCATCATTAGTAGCGATTATTGTTGTCTGCATTGAGGAGATATTTTCATTTGTGAAATTACATTATTGTCTCAATAAACGCATGCCCCCCTCTCTCTCCCTTTCCTTCCCCCCCCCCTCCTCCCCACCATGCATGCTGAATTTGTTGATGGATACCCCTCTAGATAGGTCGCAGCAGGACTACGCGGAGACGGCGTGCAGCAGCGGGCGGGCGCTGTGTGCGCTGATCAACGACATTCTCGACCTCTCCAAGATCGAGGCTGAGAAGCTCCGCCTCGAGCGCATCCCCCTCAACCTGCGCGCCGAGCTCGACGACGTGCTCGCGCTCTTTGTGGAGAGCGCCCAGGAGAAGCGATGCGTGGAGCTTGCGGCGTTTGTGGCCGATGACGCGCCGGAAATGCTCGTGGGAGATCCGCTCCGTGTGAAGCAGGTGAGTTGAAGGGCAGGCAAGTGCTTAGAAACGGCAGGTGCTTGGAATGGTCAGGGTAAGGTAAGCTAGATGATGATGCGGATAAAAACTCATGGAGCTTGGCACATTAGTTTTATAATGACGATGTGTTGTGCCTGAGGAGCTCACAAAGGATCCGCTTCTGTCAGAATCCCACCCCCTTTACCACTGGGATAAAATGGCTTGTTAAGTAGCGGGTGAGTGCGCCCGTAATCGGCCAGACTCTAAACTTGTAACTTTTTGCTATGATGAATCAAATTTTCCAGAGCAGTCATCTGACAATATTTGGTGCTGAGAAGACAAGGTGCTGGTGCTTGTAGGGTCATGGATGGGTGCTTGGCAACGTCAGGTGCATGGCAGGCTCAAGTGCATGGCAAGGTGAGGTGCATGGCAGGGTCAAGTAGGGTCAGGTGCATGGCAGGGTCAAGTAGGGTCAGGTGCATGGCAGGGTCAAGTAGGGTCAGGTGCATGGCAGGGGCATGGCCTTTCGTGGAGCCGCTTGGGCTGGATTCCTTAGTTCATCACACTCTCTGCGCCTTCCCCTTCTCACACATGCGACGCCTTCAAATTCACGTCCAGTGCCCCTTCTTCATGCACGTGTGTGTGTGTGTGTGTGTGTGTGTGTGTGTGTGTGTGTGTGTGTGTGTGTGTGTGTGTGTGTGTGTGTGCGCGCGGCACGCAAATGCGCGCGTGCCTCTGTGTGTCCGTGTATGTTTCTTCTCCTGTGCAACAGATCCTCATCAATCTCATCAGCAACGCATTCAAGTTCACCACTGAGGGCCACGTCTTCATTGCCGTGCACCTCGCAACCACCACCGATAGTGGCACCACCAGCTGCAGCCGCCCCCCCCCGCCTCTGCTCTCTCCTTGTTCCTTCACTTCCTCACCATCACCATCACCATCACCATCACCATCACCATCACCATCACCATCACCATCACCATCACCATCACCATCACCATCACCACCACCATCACCATCACCATCACCATCACCATCACCATCACCATCACCATCACCATCACCATCACCATCACCATCACCATCACCATCACCACCACCATCAGCATCACCCTCGCCATCACCCTTACTGTTAGCATCCTCATCACCTCACTCCAAGGCAACTGCCAGCAGGCACCAATCCCTTGACAATGGCTTTACCAAGGCAAGCAGGCTCAGAGAGGGGAGGGATGCTGATGAGATTTCTGAGGATCACCCTTCAAGCAGCTATATAGAAGGGAAGGATCCATGTCCAGTTGAGGCTGCCGGTGCTGGTGTAAAAGGGAGGAACGGTGCTGCTTGGGATGACAGGGACGATGGTGCTGGTGGCAATGTTGGCATGGGTGGCGGTGTTGGCACCAGTGGCGGCAGTCGAACCATTGTGAAGGCATCTATTGAGCCTGCGTGTGCAACGCTGAGTGGGTGGCCAGCCATGAAGTCGTGGTGTTCGTGGGAGGGCATGCGGGAGCACATGGACCTTGCTGCCGTGGGCATAAGCAAGGCGAGCTATACCGGCCATGGCGATGGGCATGGGGGGCATGGCGATGGGCATGGTGATGGCGGTCTTGGCCAGGAATATGGCGAGGGATATGCTGATGGGCATGGTGATGGGGATGGGGATGAGAATGGCAATGACCTTGCCCATGGCATCGTGGGACCCGACCAGCCTGTGCACCTGATGGTGGCTGTGGAAGACACAGGTACCGGCATCCCCCGGCACGCGCGGAGGTACATCTTCCGGCCGTACACACAGGCAGAGCGCAGCACGGCACGGCTGCATGGAGGCACGGGCATCAGCCTCTCCATCTGCAAGGTGCGTTGCATTGGGAGTGCGTCATTGAATGTGTCAACTTGGGCTTTAAGGGGCGTTTTATCGGCCTCTCCATCTGCAAGGTGCGTTGCATTGGGAGTGCGTCATTGAATGTGTCAACTTGGGCTTTAAGGGGCGTTTTATCGGCCTCTCCATCTGCAAGGTGCGTTGCGTTGGGAGACGTGCCTTTTCATGTACTTTGCATCGGGACACCTGTCTTCAGGGTACGATGCCCCTCCCACCACCAACCCCCCTCCCTTGCCCCTTCCACTTGCCATGTGAGCAGTGCCTGGTGTCGATTCAGGCTTGTACTGATGAAGGCTTGCAAAAGCCGAAACTAGTTTGCAATGTCCCTGATTCCTTAGTGAAGATTTGTTTTAAACTGGCTCTCTCAACAACGCTTTCAAGCTAAGCACACCAGGCTCCTTCCGCCATTTTCATGGAGTTTGTTTCGTTATCCTAAACAACACGAGTTGATGGAAGTAAGGCCTCCGCAGCCCACCTGTCCTCTCTTGACAGCCCCTCCCTTGCCCCTTCCACTTGCCATGTGAGCAGCGCCTGGTGTCGATGATGGGAGGATCCATCTCGTTTGTCTCGAAGCCAGGCGTCGGCACCACCTTCCTCTTCGATATCCTCCTCCACACACCGCCTCTCCCTCACCCGCCTCCCTCCCCTTCTCACCCTCCCCAACCCCACACTCCTCCTCAACACCAGAATCCAGTATCCCTGAAATCCCCTGCCATCTGTTCTAGCACTCCCTTCATCCCCGCTCCTCCTTCCCCTCAAAGCTCATGCCACTTCCCCCCTGAACCCACAAACCACCAGCCACTGCAGCAGCAGCGGCAGAGGAGAAGGGAGGATGTGGGTTTCAGAGTGGGAACGCTGGGAGCGGTGGGAGTGAAGGGAGATTTGCCAGTGGGCTAAAAGGCGTGTGTGTGGTGAGTGGTGGGGGGACAGCGGGTGCGCTAGATGGTGTGTGTGTGGTGAGTGTGGACGACCGGGCGGTGCGGCATGCCGTCACTCTCTCTCTGCTGCGCCGCCTTGGCCTCTGCACCCTCCCCTGCCCCTCCTTCCACCTCCTCCCCCGCCTCCTCGCCCAACACCGCTCCTTGCACCATGGGTCATGTCATCCCATGCACCATGGGTCATGTCATTCCACGCACCATGGCTCGTTTCATTCCATGCAGCATGCCTCGTGCCATGCCATGCACCACGGTTCATGCCATGCCACGCACGATGAATCATCTGATGCGACGGGACATGCCTCGTGCCCTGCGAGGCACCATGGGTCATCGACACATGCCATGCATGCTTCCAGTGAGCAGCAAGGCGAGCAGCAGGGCGAGCAGCAGGGCGAGCAGCAGGGCGAGCAGCAGGGCGAGCAGCAGGGGGAGAAGCAGGGGGAGCAGCAGGGGGAGCAGCAGGGGGAGCAGCAGGGGGAGCAGCAGGGGGAGCAGCAGGGGGAGCAGCAGGGGGAGCAGCAGGGGGAGCAGCAGGGGGAGCAGCAGGAGGAGCAACAGTGGGAGCAGCAGGAGGAGAGGAAGCAACACAAGCTTGAACTAACCTCCGAGCCGTCTCTTGCTTCAACATACCTCTCTCACCTCCTCTCTCCCAGTCGCACCACCAACCACCCCTCTCCTTCTCCACACACCGTTTCTCTTACAGCCCCACCAGCAGCACCCCACAAACCGCCTCCTCGTACCCCTCCCTGTCATCATCGCCGCGTGAAGTCTCAAACCGCCCAGTCATGCTTCGCTCTACCCACCTCGCAGCTCTCCTTTGGGTCCCTTCTAACTGCTTCCCCCACGAGTTTTGAGGCACATAAAAAAGCCCACCAACCGTCGTCTCTCACCCCTCGCCCTCCTCCTCGACGCGTCAAGTCTCACGCCTCACTGCCATGCCTCGCACTACCCAACTTTCAACGATCCATAGGAGCCTTCGTAACCGCTTCCCCCACAGCACGCCACACACCTGGTGATCAGTCTCTGGTCCCTCTGCTTTCAGCCAACACGTGCACACAAGAGCACTCAGAACCAGCAAGATCGTCTTGAGGAGTTATCTTCTTTTCACGAGCCTTTTGCTCCTTCTCTCGACCCATTTGGCTCTACTCTTGACCCGTCTGCTCCTTCTCTCGACCCATTTGGCTCTACTCTTGACCCGTCTGCTCCTTCTCTCGACCCATTTGGCTCTACTCTTGACCCGTCTGCTCCTTCTCTCGACCCATTTGGCTCTACTCTTGACCCGTCTGCTCCTTCTCTCGACCCATTTGGCTCTACTCTTGACCCGTCTGCTCCTTCTCTCGACCCATTTGGCTCTACTCTTGACCCGTCTGCTCCTTCTCTCGACCCATTTGGCTCTACTCTTGACCCGTCTGCTCCTTCTCTCGACCCATTTGGCTCTACTCTTGACCCGTCTGCTCCTTCTCTCGACCCATTTGGCTCTACTCTTGACCCGTCTGCTCCTTCTCTCGACCCATTTGGCTCTACTCTTGACCCGTCTGCTCCTTCTCTCGACCCATTTGGCTCTACTCTTGACCCGTCTGCTCCTTCTCTCGACCCATTTGGCTCTACTCTTGACCCGTCTGCTCCTTCTCTCGACCCATTTGGCTCTACTCTTGACCCGTCTGCTCCTTCTCTCGACCCATTTGGCTCTACTCTTGACCCGTCTGCTCCTTCTCTCGACCCATTTGGCTCTACTCTTGACCCGTCTGCTCCTTCTCTCGACCCATTTGGCTCTACTCTTGACCCGTCTGCTCCTTCTCTCGACCCATTTGGCTCTACTCTTGACCCGTCTGCTCCTTCTCTCGACCCATTTGGCTCTACTCTTGACCCGTCTGCTCCTTCTCTCGACCCATTTGGCTCTACTCTTGACCCGTCTGCTCCTTCTCTCGACCCATTTGGCTCTACTCTTGACCCGTCTGCTCCTTCTCTCGACCCATTTGGCTCTACTCTTGACCCGTCTGCTCCTTCTCTCGACCCATTTGGCTCTACTCTTGACCCGTCTGCTCCTTCTCTTGAGCCGTTTGGCTCGCCCGCTGTCCTTGTGGCTCCTCGTCCATCCGTCGCTCCCCTTTCCCGCCAGTACTCCTTCCCTCCCATCTCACTCGCTGCTTCTCCTCCCTGCCCTCCTATCTCCATCGCCCGTCCGCCGCTCACCATCGATGTTCACTGCTCTAGTGAGAGAATTGCGAGCGGAGGGGAGGAGGAGCAGCAGTGGCTTCAGCTGCAGCAACGGCAGTGGCAGTGGCAGCAGGAGGAAGAGAAGGAGACGGAGGAGGGGGAAGAGGGGAAGGAGGAGGAGAAAGAAGAGGTGGAGGAGGAGGAGCAAGGAGAGGAGGAAGGAGGGGAGGAGGATGGAGCAGCGCAGGTGCAGCAACGCGTTTCCAGGGTTTCTCAAAGATTGCAGCAGCGGGTGCACTACAAGAGCTTGAGCAAGGCAGAGAGGCGGGGATGGGTGGGGGCGGTGGTGGTGGAGGGGGAGATGATGCAGCGGCTGAGCGTCTCAGCAGATCAAATCCATGCTCTCATGTCAGGCCAGGCAGGAGACAACGTGAGTACGGTTGGGGGGAAAGGGAAGAAAGGGAGGAAGGAGGGAGTGAGTAGGTGTGCAGCAGAGAAGGGCTGTGGCAGCAAGAGCAGCAATAGCAGATGTGCTTCTCTAAAACCTACCAGTGAAGCAGCTGTGGGTTCACAGGAGGAGCAGCCTACCAGCCTTACTGCTGGTAGCAACTGCAGCAGCTGCGGTTTGCCTTGTTCCTGTTCCTGCAGCGGGAGCAACTGCAGGTGGCCTGTTCCTTTCCTCGTGCTTCTCCACGGCTCTCTTCCTCTCCCTCCCCACTCTCTTGCTACAGGCCTTGCCGCCCCCGACAGTCTCAGCCCTTACAAGAGAGAAGCATATAACGGGGGCAGCTTCTCCTGTGAGCCTTGTCCTGAGGGCCAAAGAGGGGGTGAGCTGGACCAGAGAAAGGGGAGGAAGGGAGTAACCGGAGCAAGGGGCAGGGAGGGGGCCAACGAGGGCGGCAGCAGGGAGGGAAGCTTGGAGCAGAGTAAGAGCAGGGAGAGGGAGGGCAGCCGCAAAAGGCAAGGAGAAAGGGTGGATGAAAGGGATGAGGGGGGTGACTGTGCGTGCAACGATGGGATGAGCGGTTTCCAAGGCAGCATCAGGAACAGGCCTCCTGCTCTGTCCCTCTCTCCCTCTACGTCAATACCTGCCACTGCCGCTCGTCTCTCTCCCTCCCCTGCTCTCTCCCTCGTACCCGCCCCGTCCATCCCCTCGCTATTGTCACTTGGCTTTGACGCTGTTGTGAGGAAGCCGCTGCGGAAACCAGCGCTGCTGGCGGCGCTTCTGCCGCTGTTTGGTGCGGACGTGGGGGAGGAGCAAGGTGGGTGTGGGCAGGCAGGAGGAGGAGCAGAGGCAGGAGGAGGAGCAAGGTGGGTGGTACGGATGGTGTGGGTGGTACGGATGGAGTGGGTGGTACGGATGGAGTGGGTGGTACGGATGGTGTGGGTGGTACGGATGGTGCGGGTGGTACGGATGGTGTGGGTGGTACGGATGGTGTGGATGGAGTGGATGGAGTGGATGGTAACAGAGCCTCTTTGACCAATCGAGTAGCGTCTCTAGAGCACCTCATTCCAGCATCAGCCATAGCTGCTGCCAGTGCTGCTGTTGTTGCCGGTGCTGCTTCTGCTGCCGGTGCTGCTGTTGCTGCCGGTGCTGCTGCTGCTGCCAGTGCTGCCGGTGCTGCCAGTGCTACCGGTTCTGCCGGTGCTGCTGCTGCTGGCGGTCTGTCAATGGATTTTACAACTGCTACCAACGCTACTTCTGCTGCTTCGGTTGATTTCACATCTGGTGCTGCTTCGGTTGATTTCACATCTGGTGCTGCTTCGGTTGATTTCACATCTGGTGCTGCTTCGGTTGATTTCACATCTGGTGCTGCTTCGGTTGATTTCACATCTGGTGCTGCTTCGGTTGATTTCACATCTGGTGCTGCTTCGGTTGATTTCACATCTGGTGCTGCTTCGGTTGATTTCACATCTGGTGCTGCTTCTGCTGCCTCTTGTGTTGTGAGCGGAAGTGGTTTGTTCGAAGGGAGAGCTCTGATGAGGCGCACGGGTGCTGAGGAAGAACTTTCTAATGCGGTCCAGGGAGGGCGAGCGCTGGTAAGGAGTGGCAGTGCTGTGGAAACTACTTCTGGTTCGCGTCAGGGGTGGCAGCACTACGTGCCTGAGGGTGTGCACGCCCTGGTGAGGAGCAGCAGTGCTGTGGAAAAACATCCTAAAGCGCCTAAGGGATTGCTGCACTCTGTTTCTCAGGGAGGGCCAGCCCTGGTAAGGAGTGGCAGTGCTGTGGATAACGTTTCTGATTCGCCTCAAGGGTGGCAGCACTATGTGCTTGAGAGGGTGCAGCAGTATGTGCCTCAAGGGTTGCAGCAGTATGTGCCTCAGAAGATGCGGGCTCTGGTGAGGAGTGGAAGCGCGATGGAAGCAGCTGGGGCAGCAGAGTGTCGGGCAGAGATGCATGGGTCGAAGGGCGAAGGGAGGGCAGCAAAGCATGGGTCAGCGGGTGAACGGAGAGCAGCTGGGAGGTTGCATGGGAGAGGGAGTGAGCGACGGAAAAGCAGCGATGGTCGTTACGTTGCTGCTGATGCTGCTGGTGGTGCCGGTGGTGCTGATGCTGCTGCTGCTGCTGATGCTGCTGGTGCTGCTGGTGCTGCTGGTGCTGCTGGTGCTGCTGGTGCTGCTGGTGGTGGAGTTCGAGCTTTCAGAAGTGTGCTTGATAGATCAGGGTTGCCTCCCCCGTATGCTCGTCCTGCAGATCTCACCCCTGCGTCATCTTCTTCCTCCTCAGTCACACTCACTCCTGCTGCCACCCAAGCAGCAACACCATCACTATCGCCACTAGCCGCCCCGCCATCAGCAGCAGCATCCTCCTCAGCAGCAGCGTCAGCAGCGACACAAAAGCCGGCAACGGTGGGGGAGAGGCTGGGGGTGCTGGTGGGTCGGCGGGTGATGGTGGTGGATGACAACCTCATCAACCGCAAGGTGGCCAGCAAGCTGCTGGAGAGGCACGGCGCGCGAGTCACCGCCGTGGATGGCGGCGCCAAGGCGCTTCAAGCCCTCACCCCGCCCCACCCCTACGACCTCGTCCTCATGGACCTCCAAGTGAGATGAAAGGGCTGGAAAGGGTTGGCAATCAGAGGGATGAGCAACATGACACCTCCAGGTGAGATCATAAAGACAGCTGGGAGACAGCTGGGAGACAGCTGGGACTTCAGACAAGAGAGGGTCATGAGGCACACCACCTGGTGCACCTCGCCCTGCTGGCCCTGCAGGTACTGCACGTTTTACAGGTAGGGGGGTGGATCGTGCTGCACTTCTCCCTTCCATGTCGTCCTCATGCAACCCCCAGGTGACGGGAATGCATGGCTCACCTCGTCTCTTCTTCCCCTTCCCTTTGCAGATGCCTGGCATGGACAGCTTGCATGTAACTGAGAATCAGGGTGCATTCCTGCCAAGACGCGTCTTCAATGTTTGCGTCACAAACAGTTATTCGTGACTAATTGTGATACTCCGAAACCATGAACAGTGACGATCCAGCCAAACCCTCATTCCTTATTCTTCACATGGACTTCCCCCCCTTCTTGCAGATGACAGGCATGGACAGGATGGAGGCGACTTGGAGCGTCTGACACTCCATTTGGCCTTGATCTTCCCCCTTTCCACCAACCTCTCCCCCTCCCCTCTTCTACGAGTTCCAGATGCCGGGCATGGATGGGCTGGAGGCGACTCAGAGGATCCGGGCGCGGGAGAGGGCTCAGGGCGGGGGGCATGTGGCCATCGTTGCGCTCACAGCGGATGTGATTGCTGGCACGCGCCAGCAGTGCTTTGCCGTCGGCATGGATGACTACCTCTCCAAACCCCTCGAGGATGCCCCTCTCTCCCAAGCTGTCTGGCGCTGCCTCGCCAACACATGATTATTGATCACTCATACACACTTACACGTTCTTGTCTAGGGCCCACATCTCCAACGTCGTCCGGCACTGCCTCGCCAATATCTGATCATGCATTACATGCCTGTCTGGGCCTTGCGGAAATGAATTTCTGCATGCTACTAATCCATTAAGTTTTAACCATTAAACCATTCCAGAATTCCAACGACAATGTTCCAATATTTTGTTTGGGCTGAACCCTAAAAGATAGGGTCCTCTTATCAAACCCGTGTAATTGGGAGTGTAGGTACAGAACTTCGCTGTTTATTGAACATTCACGCTCCGAAGGGATCTTGTGACGTGAACTATCGCGTGTATAGGAGATTTGCCGAGGCGGTTGTCTTGTCTTGTCTGTCTGTTATCACACGCATCCCTGTGGTGTGCTGTCGGATTGAGTTGTTCGGCTCGCTTCCAGCCTCTCCAGTCTCGACTGTAGGCAGGTACAACTGTACGTAGCTTTCAAGGCGTTTGTTGGTCTTGTTCAACTCTTTGCCTGGACGAAGTACAAGTGTATCTGTACCATGCAGCAGTCTACGCATTTTGTTTTCGGGCATCGCAAATTCGTGAGTGGAAGTGGTTTGTTTGTGTCATGAGCTAGTTCGTGTCCGTAGGGTCGACATGTCAGGTGAGAGCGGGTCAATCCGAAGCGCATTCAAATTAGAGTGTCAAGAACTGTAGTGGAAGTGTCAAGTCGAAGCGCAGGTACGAACATCAGCGACGCAATTTCATTGGTTTGAGAATTTGTCATGGCTAGATCTGCTAAACAACGAACAATTCAAAAGACATATTGTGTGCTGATTGGGCAGCACCTGGTCGTGAGATAGGCACCTGCGACAATGTTCTCTCGTTTGTAGGTTTGTCTGTGCCAATTTCAAAAGTATCCGACGATTTGTATTGGCTGGCAACCTGCAACATTGCTGGCAGAGTGTCAAAATGCCAAGTTGACACTGCCCACTTTGACAGTCGTCCCTACAGACATGACATTATTACACCTAGCCTCACCTGATATATTTCTTTCTTGACCTTTCCAAGCCGCTTTGGACCCTAGAACAATTTCTCTTGTGCAGGTCATACTGTCGGTGGTGAGAGAAACCTGAAAGCCAGCCTGTGCCTGAAGAGCGGGAACCGATTACAGTCACGACGATGCTTCCAGATTCACGAATCACGATTGAACTCTTGCAAACTGGACTGCAAGAGTCCTTCAAGCTTCGCCTGCCCAAAGGCGAGGCGAGGCGACCCAAAACTAGGGCCAGGATGACATGACACACGTAACTTGAGGATCAATTGTGTCATAGCCCGCGTGCCATCGTAACCTTGGTTTCGCTGGGGCTGGCGTCTCACCGTGGCCTGGACAATTCATTGCCTCCGTCCGTTCCGCGCTCATCTGCGCTGCGTGTCGTCCGTCTTCTCTGTTAGAGGGCCCTACAACAGCAAGGGCCCTCGATGACCTTTGACTTGGCAGGTCGACGCCTAGCAACTGAGTCTACTCGGCACCGACGAATGAGTTCGATGGAGGTCGCATGAAGAAGCGAGAGTCCGTGGGAGTCGTTGGTGCTTCCTTGAGAGTCGCACCACTCCTTGCTGTGTTGGTGGAGTGGTGTGCACGGAAGCGAGAAGTCGATGCTGAGTTGGGTTGGGAAATTGGCGAGGCGCGTTCGCTCACCCACACACCACTTTCGTGGGGTTGGGTTACTCGCAGCGCCCACGCAACCTCTTGTGAAACCCTCGCCTGCCTATATATGTTTGTGTTGCTTGTGTGTTTGATATATATTTTCTATGTTCCTAGTGAAGTCCAAAATGCTACTTCAATTCTCACCAAGTCCTTAGAGGCAAATGCTACCGAAACTCTACCAAGTTGCTGGCGCAACATCATTCCCATAGCAGAAACTCTCTCGTTATCGCTACGCTCTCTAATAGATTCCTTCATGGTGCGGTGAGCGTGGAACGAACACGCATAGATTTCCGTCGTCGTTGATATTCGCGTTCGTATACTCGCCTTGGCGTGCGGCGTTAGTGAAGGGCGCTTATTAATCTAAGTTGAACCTCTCTTGATTTCCCTCCAGTTACGTTCTCGGACCCAAGGATAGGGCGTTTGGTAATTTATTACCACTCGTCTGAGGACCCTTGTGAGGTGACCCCGAGACGAGGGATTTAAGGAAGGGGCACTTTATTTTAATTTGTGGTACCTTATAGAGACGTCGTAGAGGATGAGTACTGAGGAGGCGAACGTGGAGGCCGGTAATTTGCGCACTCTAGAGGAGGATCTCGTGGCTCGTCATTCTCGTGGTGAGATTAGTGATATTGAATACGAGCTAATGTTGGAGGGATTGCGCTCGCGTCGGCGTCGTGAGCACCCTTCCCCACGTGTAGAGAATGTTGAGCAAGTTGCGAGAGGTACTAGTGCGTGGGATATGGCTGTCGATGGCGGAAATAGCGATGACGAGGAGTTTGATGGGTTGATGTCGCGTGGGGTCCTGCGAAGACCAACTCGGTTTAGTACGGCTAGCGTCGGCGGTGTACAGGAGCGTGTTCATCGTGCAGCAGCGTCACGAGAGCATGCGAATGTAGGACGGCGAAGCGTTGCTGGGGGAGGAATTGCGGAAGAGTTCGATAGTGAGACTATGCCGGGCGTTACCCCGATTGGATCGATGTCGAGGGACGAGGGAATAGCCCCCAACTATGGCTACTTCAGATTCGCTCCAGACAAGATCGTTGTCACTAGTCCGTTAGAAGGACGTCACGACCTGTCGACGTGGACAGAATCAATCGAGCCGCAGCTTGAGATCGCTCAGCTAAAGCGATTCATAGATGGCACCACCCCTATTCCACCAGCGCGTGCGCTTGCGCATCTCTCTCAGTTCCGCGCGATGCAGTTGCTGACATTCACCACTATTTCCCGATGCTGCTCCCCAACCGTACAGATCGCCCTTAAGGCGTGTCGCATGAAGGTTGATGCCGGCTATCAGGCATGGCAGTTTATTATGCGCACGTACATGGCGAAGGACGATCTGTACATCGGTCAGTTAGAGCAGGCGCTCACTAACCTCGAGATGGGAGAGCATGAGTCCGCTACGTCCTATTGCAACCGTGCGCAGCAGATCCTAGTGAACCTGAGGATGGCCGGCGTAGATTACTCGCAGGCGTCGTACATCACTCACGTTGTGAAGGGGTTGCCGCAGCAGTACAACCTCTTACGCAGGATGCTGAAGTTGCCGCAGGTGCGCAAGGAGTTGGACGAGAACACCCTCGCTAGCTACATCATCGAGGAGGAATGTACGCTGGCGTCAGAGGGACGAAAGGACCAATTCCTTCCCCAGGCTAACCAGGTCTTTACCAAGAAGGGTAAGCCCCAATTCCAGCAGAATTCGTTCCCTTCCCCTCCCACTACGGCACAGCAGCAACAACCTAAGAATGGGGGTGGGCTTAGTGGGGGAGGGGAGAAGTGGAAAGGGGGTAAGGATGGCCAGCCGAAGGGGGGGAAAGGGGGTTTCAAGGGAAGTGCTATGTGTGTGGACAAATAGGGCATGTTGCTAAGTACTGTCAGCAGCGGGCGGATAAGGAGGCAGACACCGGTGGAGAGGGTTCTGGAGGTAGCAGCGGAAAGGGGGGTGATGGCTCTAAGGGGAGCGGGCAATCATCATGTGCGATGGTGAAGCCCGTTGTGGAGCAGACTCCTCTCGTTGTGCTAGAGCCTGAGGGCGGGGAGGCCTTACAGGCTGTTGCAGCTGCTGTGAAGGCGAACCCGAGCGTCGTGCTGCTTGATAGCGGATGCTCCCACCATCTCATGGGAGATCGTTCTGCCTTTGTGGAGATGAGCAGCGGCGGCAGTATTAAACAGGTTACTGGCTTCAACGGCGCGCTTCAGGAGGTGCAGGGGCGGGGCACAGTCGCTCTTCTTGGAGAGGGGGGCAGGCGTGTCTTGGTGCCGGACGTGCTGTACGTACCAGGAGTGCAGGCGAGTCTTCTCTCTGCTGGGCAGCTGCGTGAATGTGGTGTGCAGCTGCTGGATGCCGGGGATGTGACTTTGCTGCGAGCACCAGATGGATCGCTTCTTGGTCGTGCGGAGTTCAAGGGGCGTGTTCTCTGCACGAACTTCCAGCCGTGTTCGACGCAGCAGCAGGAAGGCGAAACGGTGGCACTCCGTACCTTGGCGACGGGCGTGCGGTCTAAGGGGGACCTGTGGCATGCGCGTATGGCACACGTTGGTATTGATGCCATCGAGCGCACAGCGGCTCACGGGTCAGTAAAGGGCTTGGATTTGGAGAAGGGGGGCAAGTCAGGCATACCTTGTGTTTCCTGTGTTGGGGGAAAGATCACTCGTCATACCTTTCCTTCTGTGGGAGAGGAGGAGGATGAGTTGCTCGGGGTGGTGCATGCTGACCTGTGTGGCCCTTTCCGTGAAGCAGCTAAGGACGGCAGCCGCTACTTCTTGGTGCTGAAGGATCGAAAGACGCGATATGTCTGGGCCTACCCTTTGGCCCGGAAGAGTGATGCGCTGGCGGCGTTCCAGAAGTGGCTCCCGATGGCAGAGCGACAGTGCAAGACCACGGTGCAGGCCCTGCGCACTGATCGGGGTGGCGAGTTCCTGGGGCACGACTTCACGCTCTTCCTCGACGGTAAAGGCATCATCCATGACCTCACATGCCCGTACACGCCGGAGCAGAACGGGATGGCCGAGAGGGAGATGCGCAGCATTGTGGAGGCGGTGCGGACGATGTTGCTGCACATGGGTGTGCAGCATCACTGGTGGCACCTGGCGTTGGCTCAGGCCGTCTGGGTGCGCAACCGCGTGGAGCACGCCTCACTACCCTCTGGTGTGACGCCGTACGAGCTCGCCTTCCGACGCAAACCTGATGTCAGTATGGTGCGTGTTTGGGGCTGCATGCTGCAGTACATGGTACCACGGTCGCAGCGTGGGGGGAAGCTGGCGCCTAAGGCTCGCTGGGGGTTGCACTTGGGTGTGTCAGCTGCGAGCAAAGGCTGGACCGTGCTGGACTTGGAGTCCAACCGCCTCATCACCACTGTGGAAACTGTGTTCTATGAGACCATGTCCCTAGCAGGATGGAAAGCTTGGCATCAGCAGGAGCATGGGGGGCGTTCGATGCCCTATGAGCCCCTTCCCTCACTCTTCCCGATCACTCTCGAGGAGGCGGAGGAGGAGGAGGAGGTGGTCGCACCTCCTGCTATGCCCTATGTCCCTACCTCGGTCCCCACCCCACCTCCGCCTTCAGTCTACCCTCGTGTGATTCCCCCTGTCCCGCCTTCTTCCTCCTCACCCCCCTTGCCTTCCCCTCCTCCTCCTGTTATTCCATCCCCCCTTTCACCCTCCATCCCTCCTGCACCTGCTCCGCCCTCCTCTTCGTCTTCCACGGCGCCGCCCGTTGGTGGGGGGGGGATGGAGGTGCCACCGTCTGTGGAGATCACCGACGGGCAGCGCCTTGAGACTGAGCAGCTGCAGGACGAGAGCAGTATGGATGGAGTACAGCAGACAGGGGAGCAGCAGATTGGGGAGCAGCAGACAGGGGAGGAGCGGATTGAGGAGCAGCAGATGGTGGACCAGCAGCTAGGGGAGCAGCAGACAGGGGAGCCGCAGACAGGGGAGCAGGAGATGTGGGGAATTAGAGATGGTGGTCGTGTGTTGGTTTCTGGGACGACCACTGCACCTGTGCGTCGCTCCACTCGCATCACTCGTGGTGTCCCGCCTGTTCGATACGCTTGGGCTGTAGTGGTTGAGCCAGCGGGCTTGGATGACGAGGAGGAGGACGAGGAGTGGACTGACCTGGACCCGGACGTTGCAGCTGATCCTGAGAGGCAGTGGGACATAGCGAAAATGACAGTGAAGGAGGCCTTGGGCTGCTGGAAGGGCGACAAGGTGAAGGAGGCAATGGATGAAGAGATGCGGAGCTTGATTGAGCAGGGGACGTGGGAGTTGGTTCCGCGTCCGCCAGGGGTGAATGTGATGAAGAACCGATGGATTTTGAACACCAAGTTCCGACCTGATGGGATAGTGGAGCGTGAGAAGGCGAGGCTGGTAGTGAAGGGGTTCACGCAGGTGGCAGGGGTGGACTATGAGGAGACGTACGCCCCTGTGGGAAGCTATGTGACGGCGCGTGTGCTTCTGGCGATTGTAGCTGCACTTGATTTGGACCTGATGCAGCTCGATGTAAAGAATGCGTTCCTCCATGGCGTGTTGGACCGAGACCTTTATATGGAGCAGCCGAGCTACTACGAGGATGGGACTCCTCGTGTCTGTAAGTTGGTGAAAAGTCTGTATGGGCTCAAGCAGAGCCCGATGCTATGGTATGAGGCCTTGGATGGGGTGCTGCTTGGGGCTGGATGGAAGAAGAGCAAGGTGGATGAGGCTCTGTACTTCAAAACTGATGCTGATGGGGAGATGTGCTGGCTGCTGGTGTATGTGGATGACCTGCTTGCTGCCAGCCGCAGTCAGAGCATGCTTGAGGAGCTGCGTGAGCTGCTGCAGAGTGCGTTTCAGCTGCGGGAGATTAGCCCTGTGGAGAAGTATCTGGGGTTGCAGCTGATTCGGGACAGGCCTACGAGGAGGCTGTGGCTGCACCAGGGGGCCTATGTGGACAAGGTTCATAGGCGCTTCTTTGACGGGGAGCAGCCGCTGCGAGTGCCTCGCACCCCTCTTTCCTCTGACCCTTTCAGTGTGCAGACCTTTGAGGATGTGGGATGGCAGTCTCGCCAGGAGGAGGAGTACAGGCAGAAGGTGGGATCCTTGCAGTTTGCGGCCTGTACCACCCGTCCCGACATCTCGTTCGCCTGCAGCAAGCTGGGGTCGGGCCAGACTGTGCGGAGTGATCAGCACTGGAAGGAGTTGGACCGGTGCTTGACGTACTTGGTGGGGAGCAGGGATGTGGCGCTGGAGTTTGGTGGTGGGCCGGAGTCCTTGGAGCTGGTGGGCTACGCCGATGCTGATGATGCTGGGGACAAGCAGAACAGGACCAGCACAGGTGGCTATGTCTTTGTGCTCGGGGGTGCTGCTGTCTCATGGGCAAGCCAGAGGATTCGTTGCGCCACCCTCTCCTCCACTGAGTCTGAGTATGTTGCTGCTGTGGAGGCTGGGAAGGAGGCGCGCAGGCTGCGCTTCCTGCTGGCAGAGTTTCAACTGCTGAGGAGTGAGGAACCCACTACTCTCTTTGTGGACAACTCCTCCGCCATTTCAGTGGCAGGTGGCATGGGGCTCAAGGGGAGCCTAAAGCACATGGAGCGTCGCCACATGTGGCTGCAGCACATGGTCAAGCGCAGGAAGCTGCAGTTGCAGTACATCCCTACGAGCGAGCAGCCTGCTGACTACCTCACGAAGGCATTGCATTTCCCCGCCTTCAGTCGTTGCTTCGAGGCTGTGGGGCAGGTGAGGCTTTCGAGTGAGGGGGGTGAGACCTAAACACTCCATGATGTGGATGGTGCCATGGCCTATCCATGGCTGGTGCGGTGCGTGTTTGCACTTTGAGAGTGCTTCGTTTGTGTGTGTCTCCCTTTGTTTTGGCGTGTACGTGTGTATGCATGCCCTGTGATTATAAAGGGCCTTGCTGTAGTATGGCAGGGGAGTGTTAGAGGGCCCTACAACAGCAAGGGCCCTCGATGACCTTTGACTTGGCAGGTCGACGCCTAGCAACTGAGTCTACTCGGCACCGACGAATGAGTTCGATGGAGGTCGCATGAAGAAGCGAGAGTCCGTGGGAGTCGTTGGTGCTTCCTTGAGAGTCGCACCACTCCTTGCTGTGTTGGTGGAGTGGTGTGCACGGAAGCGAGAAGTCGATGCTGAGTTGGGTTGGGAAATTGGCGAGGCGCGTTCGCTCACCCACACACCACTTTCGTGGGGTTGGGTTACTCGCAGCGCCCACGCAACCTCTTGTGAAACCCTCGCCTGCCTATATATGTTTGTGTTGCTTGTGTGTTTGATATATATTTTCTATGTTCCTAGTGAAGTCCAAAATGCTACTTCAATTCTCACCAAGTCCTTAGAGGCAAATGCTACCGAAACTCTACCAAGTTGCTGGCGCAACATCATTCCCATAGCAGAAACTCTCTCGTTATCGCTACGCTCTCTAATAGATTCCTTCATTCTCTTCCGTCTTTTTCCTCCATCGTCATGGATTGCACGGGAATTCCAGCTTGCGTGGGAAGGCATCGGAAGGGATTCCGGACGCTAAGCGGAGATAGCTCGGTTTTCTCGAACATTTCTCCGGACGACGCACTAATAGCAGATTCCGACACCTTAGCTCATGAAGGGAATCGAGTGACGTCGTCTGAAGGGGATTTAGAAATGGAGGAGGGTTGCGAAGGGTTACTGACGGGGCGAGAAGAGACAGTACTGTACGACCCGGGAGGTTGTTACCCGTCCCTGAACCTCAGCGGATTGAAGCCACAGCAGAAACGGCGACCTTTAGGGATCCTAAGTAAGGCCGCGCGAATGCCGCCGTCTTCGGCGGCTGAGGATGATCCGTCTAGTAGTGCCGCGCCCCCGTGTCATGTCTCAAGCCCGCCGCCACAGACAGCAGATCTGGTAGTAGATTACGATTCGTCCGTTCGTGCCACGTCATCGTTTCATCATAACGCCAGCGTACCCGCACAGGCAGGGGTGCGTTCCGCCTTTTCGTGCTTTGGTTTCAATGGCGATGGCGCATCATGCGCATCGGCCGAGGAAAGCGAGAGGGAGAATGGGGAGGAGGAAGAGAGAGAAGACGGGAGGAAAGTCGCGAGGGAGAGTGAGATCGGCGACAGGAATGATCTTGATTCAACGGAGGGGGCGGAGGGGACGGAGGGGGCGGAAGAGGCAGAGGAGGCGGAGGGGGCAGACGGGAATGAGTCTGACGATGGCGGGTATGAGTTCCGCGGATTGGAAAATGAGACGGAGATGGCGATGCTGGCGGAATCGACGGCGGAAGTGGGGTTGGGGGGAAAAGGGGTCGCGGAAAAGGGGGCCGCGAAAGGCGCGGAAGGGGCGGAAGGGGCGGAAGGGCACCATCGGCGACAGTCGTGGCTGACGAGGGTGGAGTGGTTCGTGTCGTGGCCGCTCAGGCGACTCAGCCACCCGTGGCGCAAGGTACGCCGTGAATACCGCAGTGCTGTGGTGATTGGGACACTGCAGTGCGTGGTGTCCTGGTTCGTACGACGTGCATGCGCTGCCTGTGAAAAAAAGAAGAAAAGAAACAGCTACCTCCCAGGTCTCAGCTGGTGCGTCAATTCTGCAGTAGGGTTGGCGGCTGCTGGTCCTGGCCCCTGGACATTCCGACGCTCATGTTCACAATCCTGGGATAAGAGGGATGACACACAGAGTAACCTGCTTCTGAGCTTCCCCCCATAGTCACAACCCCCCCACCACCCCACTCCACCCAACGTCATTCCTACATTCCAGCGAGTGCTGTGGCTGTGGGCGGTGTGTTGATAGCAGCGGTTATCCTGTCGATGGTGTTTGCAATGGCATGGCAGCATGCGCAGGCGAGAGAGAGGGACGACACGCACAGCCTCCTGCTTCCCTTCCCCCCTCTGCTCACGCCCCTCCTCCCATCCTCCCCCTTCGAATGGTCCTTGTATTGAATAAACAACTCGTACAGGCAAGGATGGAATGCGTTCAAGGTAAGACTACTAACCCTTTTCTCTCCCCCTTCACCCTTCCGTTTCTCCCTTCACATGTTACTCCCCCCTCTCTCCTCCCCCCCCCTCCGCTCCCCACCCCCCCCTCTCCCAGCGAGTGCTGTGGCTGTGGGTGGTGCTAGCAGCGGCCATCCTGTCGCTGGTGTTTGCGATGGCGTGGCAACATGCGCAGGGGACTGAGAGGGACGACCTGGAGTCGCACTGTGACGAGTGGGGGGCGTTTATAGAGGCCAAGTTCAACACCACTGCAGCCAACACGCGCTCCGTTTCCGACTTCATCCGCGCATATTACCTCGATAAGTACGCCCAGGGCCACCTTTTACCTTTGTTTCTCCCAGTGCCGCCAGTTTTATGGGCCGCCAACACACGCTCCGTTTCCGACTTGATCAGCGCTTATTACCTCGATAAGTTCGGGGCCGTCAGGGGCTTCCATGCGTTTGTAGCTCGCTCCTACGCGCGGCATTTCTCTGACTCTCATGCTGACAACCAACTCAAGCTTCTCACTCCACCTCCCTCCGAAACCCTTTCGACCCACTCTCCTTCCTTCTCCCCCTGTCCTCTTCCCCCCCCGGCTTCCTTCTCTTCTCATTTCTCCCTCACTATCATTTCCGCCTTCTCCCGTCCCCCCTCCCCGTCAAAACCTACTGCCAAACACCTCCTTGAGGAAGGAGTATCTTGACGTGGAGAAAGTACGTGCATTGAGTTGAAATTTGAGGCGCCTCAAAATTCAACTTCCCTGAGGGAGGACTTTCTGGACGTGGAGAAACTCCAACGCTTCACTCTCAAGCCACTCTTGAATCTCGAGTTCATCTATAAAACATATTTGCACTTCCACCCCTCCTCCTCCCCCGCCTCCCCCTCCCTTCGTTTCCCCTGGGGCAAGCAGCATGAGGGAGGAGTGTCTGGACGTGGAGAAATTCCAACACTTCACTTAGGCCACTGTCAATCCAGGAGATTTATCCCTTTTACCTTCTCCCCTCTTGTGAGGCGCCTCAAAAGATTTATCCCTTTTACCTTCTCCCCTCTCCCCTCTCCCGACCACCCTGTCCCTCCCTGACACAACCCCTCCCCCCCCCTTCCCCCCTCCGGGGGCGAGCAGCATGAGGGAGGACTTTCTGGACGTGGAGAAATTCCAACGCTTCACTCAAGCCACTCTTGACGGCCGACCCATGGTGTCAAGTGAGTTGCTGTGCTGCTAGCTGCAAGTGGACTGCTCCTTTACATTTCATGGCTTGCATGTGGCGTGAAGTGCTCTGACTGAACTGAACCATGACGTCATGAGTGTTGCATTTGGCGTGAAGTGCTCTGACTGAACTGAACCATGACGTCATGAGTGTTGCATGTGGCGTGAAGTGCTCTGACTGAACTGAACCATGACGTCATGAGTGTTGCATGTGGCGTGAAGTGCTCTGACTGAACTGAACCATGACGTCATGAGTGTTGCATGTGGCGTGAAGTGCTCTGACTGAACTGAACCATGACGTCATGAGTGTTGCATGTGGTGTGATCTGACTGACCCATGGCGTCATGTGAGTTGCATTTGGCATGTTGGTGCATTCTCACTTACGCCTCTACCCCCTTCAACAACGCAGCTCTACAAAATCGTTTTCAACCCGCCTCGACTGCCGCCTCCGTCCATCCATTCCGTTTCTCCCTTATTCCCTCCCTGTCCCCCCTGTTCCTCCTGTTCCCCAAACCCTGTTCCTCTTTTTTCGCCCCCCCCCGTATCCCCTGTAGTCGTGAGCTTCACGCTGCTGGCCAACAGCTCGTTCCCTTGGGTCATTGTCGATTTCAATCCCAACCACTGCATCTCCACTCCAGAGCCCACCGGCGTGCTCTCCTCTGCTGTTCCCCCCTGTGATTTTCCCCGCTGACCCCTTGTGTTCCCCCCCGTATCCCCCGTGCGTCCCCCCCGGCAGTCGTGGGCTTCACACTCCTGGTGAGCAACACATTCATTCGCAACTTAGTGGAGCAAAACTCCAACCACTGCATCTTCGCTCCCGAACCCAACGGCGCACTCGCCTGTGCTGTCCTCCCCGTGCTGTCCCCTCCGTTACCCCCCTGTGTCCCCGGCAGTCGTTGGCTTCACACTCCTGGTGAACAACACGTTCATTCGCGACTTAGTGGAGCAAAACTCCAACCACTGCATCTTTGCACCCGAACCCAACGGCGCACTCGCCTGCCGCCCACGCGACCTGCCCCTGTACGCGCCCCTTGTCATCTTCAACGCCCGCAAGGAGTTCTACCCGCGCGTGAACCTCTCTGCCGTCTGCTGCCAGGACATCATGGCTGGTGAGTCCAAGGGCTGACTTTTGAGAACTCTCCAAAGGGACATCATGGCTGGTGAGTCCAAGGGCTGACTTTTGAGAATTCTCCAAAGGGACATCATGGCTGGTGAGTCCAAGGGCTGAATTTTGAGAGTTCTCCAAAGGGACATCATGGCTGGTGAGTCCAAGGGCTGACTTTTGAGAGTTCTCGAAAGGGACATCATGGCTGGTGAGTCCAAGGGCTGAATTTTGAGAATTCTCCAAAGGGACATCATGGCTGGTGGCCGGTAGAACTAGAGCCGCTCTTGAGAATCCCGATAGCCAGCTTCAGTCGACCTGCCTGCCCCTGTACGCGCCCCTTGTGCATTTTCAACTCTCACAAGGAGTTGTACCCACGCGTGAACCTCCCTGCACTTTTTGAGGCGCCTTAAAATTCGCCTCAAAAGTCGTTTCAGTCGACCCGCCTGCCCCTGCACGCGTCCCTTGTCATGTTCAACTCCTGCAAGGAGTTCTACCCGCGCGTGAACCTCTCTGCACTCTGCTGCTACATCATGGCATGCCAGGTGACTGGAAAGGCGGGGCCGGTGGGAAGGAGCATCTTTCGTCGCCTGTTGTGCTGTACGGGGTTCTCGAGGTTTCAAGTAGTTCCCGGTGTGTTTTGAGTCGACTCAAAACACACCTAGTTCCCGGGGCATCTTGTAGTTACTGCTGTGTGGGGTTCTTGTAGTTACTCGTGAGGGGAGTGTGGACGGGTCTACTGCTGCTGCTGACCACGCCTCGCACTTCTCCACGTGAAGCGAGGTTGTTGTTTGTTGAGACGTCTCAAAAACAACCTCGCTTCACGTCGCTGCTGCTGACCACGCCTCGCACTTCTCCTCCAGGTTGTGTACAAGGCCCAGGTTGTTAAGCGCGGCCGTGAGGTCATTGAAGGTTTCGGTGCAGGCTGTGTCCTCTCCCTGGAGGGTGATGTCGTCTTGGCTCTGCACCATCTGCCCACTCCTCTGCTGGGCCCTTTCTCCCCCCTCGACTAACCTCCTTCCCCGCCTCCCACCACATCCCACCACCCCCCACCGCATCCCGCTGCCCCTCTCAGAACCAGCATTTAACGACACGTTCCGCCGGGCCATTGACTCAGCCTCCTCCGCCATGTCTCCTCCCTTCATGCGCGACAACTACTCCTACCATTTCATCGGCCAGGCCTTCCCAGTCTACTTCAACCTCACCACCTTCGCCCTGCCCCCCTCAGCCTCCCTTCCCTCCATCGCCATCCCTCCACTTGCCACGCCTGAGGACCTCCCACAGGGGTTTGTCATCGCGGGGTATAACTTTGCAAACCTGCGATCGCTGGTGGGGTTTCAGCAGCTGGTGGAGCTGAACGAGAGGGTTTATCTGGTGGATGGCACGAGGGGCGGGGCGTGGGATGGTGCGAGAAATGAGGATGGGAAGGTTGATAAGTGGTTGCCGGCGTTGTTGTTTGATCATGAGGGGGTGGTGGGCGAGGAGGAGATTGGAGCGTGGATGATGGATGGGAAGGGGCAAGAGGATGGGGGGAGAGTGCAGCGTGAGGTGCACTTGGGTGACCCAACACGAAAGTTTTATCTATTCTGCGAGTGAGTTGATGTGTGCATGCATGCGTACGTGCCTGAACATGCCTACGGAAATCAGGCATTCATCGCACATACATTCATTATACATCCATCCATGCATCCACGAGCCATGTACACTCGCATACATGCATCGATCTAATTGATGGTGGCGGTGTTGTTTCTTCCTGTCTCCACCTGTTGTTTCTTTCTTGTCTCCACCATCCTCCTCTTGTCTCCACCATCCTCCTCTTGTCTCCACCATCCTCCTCTTGTCGTGCGTCCACCTCATGCATGACTTCGACTGCCATCGCCTTGCCTCACCAAAGTATGGTCTCCCCTCCCCCAAGTATGGTCTCCTCTCCCCCAAGTATGGTCTCCTCTCCCCCAAGTATGGTCTCCCCTCCCCCAAGTATGGTCTCCTCTCCCCCAAGTATGGTCTCCCCTCCCCCAAGTATGGTCTCCCCTCCCCCAAGTATGGTCTCCCCTCCCCCAAGTATGGTCTCCCCTCCCCCAAGTATGGTCTCCCCTCCCCCAAGTATGGTCTCCCCTCCCCCAAGTATGGTCTCCTCTCCCCCAAGTATGGTCTCCCCTCCCCCAAGTATGGTCTCCTCTCCCCCAAGTATGGTCTCCCCTCCCCCAAGTATGGTCTCCCCTCCCCCAAGTATGGTCTCCCCTCCCCCAAGTATGTTCTCCCCTCCCCCAAGTATGGTCTCCCCTCCCCCAAGTATGGTCTCCCCTCCCCCAAGTATGGTCTCCCCTCCCCCAAGTATGGTCTCCCCTCCCCCACTCTCCCCCTCCCCGCCCCATCAACCTCCATCCCACCACAGGCACATATCCCCTCCAGTGCACCCTTCGCCACCCTCCCTCTCTCCCTCCTGCCCCTCGCCCTCCATCCCACCACAGGCACACCTCGTACACTAAGCCATTCGGCCCGTAGAATTCTAAAAAAACAGACCCTCCAGCCCACCAGAAGCACATATCCCCTCCCCCGCATCCCCCGCCACCACCCTCCCTCTCTCCCTCTTGCCCCTCGCCCTCCATCCCACCACAGGCACATCTCGTACACCAAGCCATTCGGTCCGTTCACCTGGATAGTGGTGGCGGTGCTGTTCCTGACCGTCTCCACCATCCTCCTCTGGACGAGCATCCAGCTCATGCACGCCTTTGAGTGCGACTGCCAGCACCTAGCTGCCGCCCAACATGAGCTGCGTGCCGCCCGCTTGGAGGCTGAGGCGGCGAGCCGAGCCAAGGGGGATTTCCTCACGACGATATCGCATGAGATCCGCACACCCATGAACGGCGTCATAGGTATGCATTTGTTTCTTCTCTCCAAGCCTGTATGTTTGAGGTGCTTTGAAAGCAGCAAGCCGAGCCAATAGGGATTTCCTCACAACAATGTCGCATGAGATCCGCACACCCATGAACGGCGTCATAGGTATGCATTTGTTTCTTCTCTCCAAGCCTGTATGTTTGAGGTGCTTTGAAAGCAGCAAGCCGAGCCAATAGGGATTTCCTCACGACGATTTCGCATGAGATCCGCACACCCATGAACGGCGTCAGAGGTATGCATTTGTTTCCTCTCTCCAAGCCTGTATGTTTGAGGTGCTTTGAAAGCAGCAAGCCGAGCCAATAGGGGTTTCCTCACGACGATGTCGCATGAGATCCGCACACCCATGAACGGCGGCATAGGTATGCATTTGTTTCTTCTCTCCAAGCCTCTATGTTTGAGGTGCTTTGAAAGCAGCAAGCCGAGCCAATAGGGATTTCCTCACGACGATTTCGCATGAGATCCGCACACCCATGAACGGCGTCATAGGTATGCATTTGTTTCTTCTCTCCAAGCCTATATGTTTGAGGTGCTTTGAAAGCAGCAACCCGAGCCAATAGGGATTTCCTCACGACGATTTCGCATGAGATCCGCACACCCATGAACGGCGTCATAGGTATGCATTTGTTTCATCAAGCCTGTATGTTTGAGGTGCTTTGAAAGCAGCAAGCCGAGCCAAGGGGGATTTCCTCACGACGATGTCGCATGAGATCCGCACACCCATGAACGGCGTCATAGGTATGCATTTGTTTCTTCTCTCCAAGCCTCTATGTTTGAGGTGCTTTGAAAGCAGCAAGCCGAGCCAATAGGGATTTCCTCACAACGATGTCGCATGAGATCCGCACACCCATGAACGGCGTCATAGGTATGCATTTGTTTCTTCTCTCCAAGCCTGTATGTTTGAGGTGATTTGAAAGCAGCAAGCCGAGCCAATAGGGATTTCCTCACGACGATTTCGCATGAGATCCGCACACCCATGAACGGCGTCATAGGTATGCATTTGTTTCCTCTCTCCAAGCCTGTATGTTTGAGGTGCTTTGAAAGCAGCAACCCGAGCCAATAGGGGTTTCCTCACGACGATGTCGCATGAGATCCGCACACCCATGAACGGCGTCATAGGTATGCATTTGTTTCTTCTCTCCAAGCCTCTATGTTTGAGGTGCTTTGAAAGCAGCAAGCCGAGCCAATAGGGATTTCCTCACGACGATGTCGCATGAGATCCGCACAACCATGAACGGCGTCATAGGTAACGTGATATAGCAAGATAAATTGGTGATGCATATGATAATGTGATAGCATAGTAAGGCGATAACGCGGTAACCTCACCTCACGCAATTGATCATGTGAATGTCATCGATCGGATTTAACTTAGAATTGACTTAATCAAAGCTTAAGTCAAGTCGTTGCTTTGCGAGATTCTATGGCAATCAACGTTTCCATAGCATCGTGTTGCTAGCGTACTGTCAACCCTCTCCAGGATCAATCGGGCATCCACAGTGCAGATCTACTGACACGTACCAGCGTTCACCTTCATAGCGTTTTTTTCGTTGAGTCGTGTAAAAACAATAATTGTCCAAGAAGAAAAGGAGGATATAATTGTTGCAAGTACTAGCAAAATCCCTACTAGTAAACTCAGAAGAACATGCGATGATCGTCAATCATTCGAAGCAACATAATCACCATGGCGAGATATAACTGCAAGATGGCGAACATGTTGGGTGTAAAAATCATTTTTGCATGTCAAGCAGTCGCCTGCATATTGTCTTGCATTTTGTGTGTGTTTTGTGCGCTTTCGTTTTTTCATCTCGTTTCGGACTTTTTTCGTTCCATGCTCATGATCAGTCATGAAATATCATGACGAATAATTTAATATCATGGAATTTCATGAATGCTAATGAGATGTCACACACCGTCGAGCCTCATAAAAACTCATGAGAATTCACGTGGTTTCATGACGAGTGATGAATGTTAATGAGGGCCAGTGTCATTGCCCCTCGAATATCTCGCGCTTAGTCAAGGTAAAAGCGCGCAAATATTTGGACCGCATGTGGGGTCCGGATCTCGCGTGTGGCCTTAGGGCTGACGCGTGGGGCCCCACGATTGCATCAGGGCAGGGCGATCAAGATTGCTCTGCCTGTGCAGGATAGCGCACGATCACGTCAACTCGCATTGATGCGAAACATATGTGTGTCAAGTGGAAGTAGCCAAAGAAAGCAAACATGCAAACACAACTGATTCTACAGATGGCAGGATGTTGTGCAAAGTTAATAAGCTGGTTCTGGAAACCCCTTAGGAGGAGCTGATTGCTATCTCTTTTCCTCCTTTCTCTCCCTTCTCTCCCTCCCTCCTCCCTTCCCCACCAGGCATGCTGAACCTGCTCCTGGAAACCCCTTTGGACGGGTCGCAGAAGGACTACGCACAGACGGCACAAAGCAGCGGGCGGGCGCTGTGTGCACTGATCAACGACATTCTCGACCTCTCCAAGATCGAAGCCGAAAAGTTGCACCTCGAGCGCATCCCGCTGGACTTGCGTGCCGAGCTCGACGACGTGCTCGCGCTCTTTGTGGAGAGCGCCCAGGAGAAGCGTTCTGTTGAGCTCGCGGCGTTTGTGGCCGACGACGTGCCCGGGATTCTCCTTGGCGACCCGCTTCGAGTGAAGCAGGTGCATATAGTGTTTGAAGTAGGGATGATGAGCAAGTACCGGACTCGAACCGGTATGATTATGTACCTGCGTGGCACATAATGCTGGTGCATGGCAGGGACAAAGACATGGCAGGGACAAAGACATGGCAGGGACAAAGACATGGCAGGGACAAAGACATGGCAGGGACAAAGACATGGCAGGGACAAAGACATGGCAGGGACAAAGACATGGCAGGGACAAAGACATGGCAGGGACAAAGACATGGCAGGGACAAAGACATGGCAGGGACAAAGACATGGCAGGGACAAAGACATGGCAGGGACAAAGACATGGCAGGGACACGTGAGCCGATCCTTGCAGCCTCAGTGTGCATCTGTGTGTGCATGTGTACGCCTCATCTCTTCCTTTAAGGGAGTGCCTCAACTCATCTCACCTCACCTCATCAGTGATGTACTCAAGTTCACTACCATTTCCCCGACCGATTCTCCCCCGCCCCATGCCTCTGCCGACCCCGACCCTGTCCGATGCCCCAGCACATCTCCGCCAACTTTTGTGTGCATTTGCTTGCGTGAATCCTCTTGTTTGCATACGTCATATCCTCATTCAATTTCAGCACCAATGCTTTCCTCCCCCCCACTCCCCCTGTGCAATGCCACTGGGGGCCTCCTTTCCCCTCCTGCCTGCATGCATCAGATCCTCATCAACCTCATCAGCAACGCATTCAAGTTCACCACCAACGGCCATGTCTTCATCGCTGTACGCGTCGCAACCCCCACCGACAGCAGCAGCAGCAGCAGCAACCACAACCCCCCACCGCTGCTCTCCCCTTCGTCCTCCACATCCTCACCTTCACCCTCACGTTCACCAGCTGTATCACCATCAGCAGCAGCACCGTCACGCTCATCCTCTCTCTCCAAAACACCAGCCAGCAGCCCCCGGCTGTCAGACAAAGGCTGCAGCAGTGCAAGCAGACGGAAAGAGGAAAAGAATCCAGCTGAGGCCTACGGGGCCGCTGCTGCTGCAGATGAGAGGAGCGGTGGTAGTCAAGCTGTTGCGGAGGCGTGTACAGAGCCTGAGCGTGCGTGTGTGACACTGAGTGGCATACCAGCCATGAAGACATGCTGCTCGTGGGAGGGCATGCGGGAGCACATGGACCTTGCTGCCGTGGGCATGGGCATGGGCATGGGCATGGGCATGGGGATGGGGATGGGCATGGGCATGGGCAAGGCAATCTATACTAGGCATGGCGATGGGTGTGGACCGTACAGTGATGGGCGTGGTGAGGGATATGGCGATGGGCGTGGCAGTGGTGCCAGCGTGGGACCCGGCCAGCCTGTGCGACTGATGGTGGCCGTGGAAGACACAGGTACGCTTTCGATGCATCTGCGTGTGTGTGTGCCCGTGTGCGCCCATGTGCGCGTGTGCGCCCGTGTGAGCGTGTGCGCCCATGTGCGCGTGTGCGCCCGTGTGCGCCCGTGTGAGCGTGTGCGCCCGTGTGCGCCCGTGTGCGCGTGTGTGCGCGTGTGCGCACGTGTGCGTGCCTACGACGCGTGTGGGGTGTTGAGTTTGAGACACCTCAAAATGCGTGTGCGCGAGTGCGCCCGTGTGTGTGCCTACGACGCGTGTGCATCCGTGCTCCTGAATGTGTGCGAGCGTGCATGCGTGTGCTTGCATGCCTGTGTGCGTGTGTCTGCTTGTTTGCTCGCTCGCCGCTGTTTCATATCGTGCTCCCAAATGCTCTCGAATAACGAGTGGACCAGCTACAGCCTGCCACTGCCACATATCCCCTCCCACATGCCACACAGTGTGCAGTGAAGAAGTGAATCAGGAGCATCTGTACTGTGCTTTTTGAGTTGACTCAAAAGTCACCTAGTCCCCACATGCCACACAGTGTGCCAGTGAATAACTGGATCAGGAGCATCTGTACCGTGCTTTTCTTGTCTTTGCTTTTCCTTTAATTGTCAACGCCTGGCCTTGTTTGTAACGGCATCAATCACTGAGACGTCTCAGAACTACAGTAGGCAGGCCAACGAAGCACCTCCTCCTCCTTTTGTGTGTGTGTGTGTGTGTGTGAGTTTTTTTTTTTTTTTTTTTTTTTTTGTCTAATGAGTATGTATTATTTTGGATCTTCTTTGACTTCGCTGCCTGGCCCTGTCAAACCCTGCAGGTACCGGCATCCCCCGCCACGCTCGGAAGCACATTTTCCAGCCGTACGCGCAGGCAGAGCGCAGCACGGCACGGCTGCATGGAGGCACGGGCATCGGCCTCTCCATCTGCAAGGTGCGTTGCATCGGGGTATTCCACGTGGCATGGGCATCCTACTTTGCACGGTATTTTGTGTTGTTGGGCATCCTACGTTGTAGGGATGAGCAAGGGGCGAACACGAGCGCGTTCGTGTTCGCCCCTGCACAAACACATCCGTTCGCCGAACAGAACAAAAACAGATGTTCGGTGTTCGCCTGTGAAGGCGTGTTCGGGCGAACCTTGAACACGTTCATGTTCGACGCGGGGCGAATTGCAGCAGCGGCCCGAACACGAACGTGTTCGGGCGAACCTTAAACAAGTCTGTCACGAACACTTTAAGCTTAAAAAAAACTTGTTCGGTTCTTTGCTCAACCCTACTACGTTGCATGGTATTTTGTGGTGTTGGGCATCCTACGTTTCATGGAGGCATGACCTCTCCATCTCCAAGGTGCGCTACATCGAGTCAGCTGTGTTACAGACAAATTACTTTGCATTGGGACACCTGCTGTGCGAGGTGCGTTGCATCGGGACAGCTGCGTTACAAAGTACATTGCATTGGGACATCTGTGCTGCAAGGTGCATTGCACCCAGACAGCAGCCTTGCAAGGTACTTGGCATAGGGAATCTGCCTTGCGAGGTACGTTGCATTGAAGCACCCACATTGCCCCTCCCACCACCACCACCCCCCTCACTTGCCCCTCCCACCACCCTTCTCCCTCCCCTCTCCCGCTCCCCAGTTGGAGCAGCGCCTGCTGTCGCTGATGGAAATCCATCATCCATCTCCACCTGCCCATATCCTTCCCAATCCCAGCCTGCCGCTTCCCACTCCTCTCTCTCCCCTCTCGCTGCAGCGCCTGGTGCCGCTGATGGGGGAACCTTTCTCCACCTGCCCATATCCTTCCTAATCCCGGTCTGCCTCTCCCCAATTCCCCCCCCTCCCCCCCCTTCTCCCTCCCCAACCCGTGCAGCGCCTGGTGTCGATGATGGGCGGATCCATCTCGTTTGTCTCAAAGCCCGGCGTCGGCACCACCTTCCTCTTCGATATCCTCCTCCACACACCCCCTCTCCCTCACCCCCCTTCCTCTCACCCTCCTTCTCCTCCTCCTCTTCCTGCTGCCTCCTCAGCCTCCCTACACTCGCCCGCCAACCCTTCTAGCACCCCCTTCATCCCCTCTCCTCCTCCTCAGCACTCCTGCCAGTTGCCCCAGCAGCAGCAGCAGCAGCAGCAGGGGGCATGTGGGCTAAAGAGTGGGAGCAGCGACTGTGGTGGGAGGGCGGCAGATGCACGAGAGGGAGGGGGCATATGTGTGGCGATCAGTGGGAATGACGGGAGGGCGGCACGGGCATGGGAGGGCGTGTGTGCGGTGAGCGGTGGGAGTGGTGGGAAGGCGGCGGGTCCTCTAGAGGGCGTGTGTGTGGCGAGTGTGGACGACCGGGCGGTGCGGCATGCCGTCACTCTCTCTCTGCTGCGCCGCCTTGGCATCTGCACCCTCCCCTGCCCCTCCTTCCACCTCCTCCCCTGCCTCCTCGCCCAACACCGCTCTCTGCACCATGGATCGTGCCACTCCTTGCACCATGGGTCGTGCCATGCCATGCAAAATGACTCATCTGATGCGATGGGCCATACCAGGCACCATGGGTCATCGAGGCAGGCCATGCACTCTCCCAGGGAGCACCAGGCGGGGCAGCAGGCGGGGCAGCAGGGAGAGCACCAGGAAGAGAAGGAGAAAGACAACGCTGAGCTTGCTTCTGAACCGTCTCTTGCTGCTAAGTACCTCGCTCGCCTCCTTTCACTTAGTCCCAAGCACATCCACCCGCCTCGTGCTCCTCGCGCCGTCTCTCTCACAACCTCAACAGCAGCACCCTATGCACCGGTCAGTCATGCACCTGCCGCTCAGTCAAGCACCGCTCCCCCCCGTCGGGTCAAGTCACACTCTGCCCTGTCAAGCCTCCCACTACCCACCTCTCGCCACTCCATTGCACCGCAGAAACCCCACCCGGCGCCATTTTCTCTTGCTTTTGAGAATTCTCACAAACCCCACCCGCCGTCTTCTCTTGCTTCCCCCCCTCCTCGCCGCGTCAAGTCACACACGGCCCTGTCATGCCTCCCACTACCCACCTCTCAACTCTCCATTGAATCCCTTCTAAATGCTTCCTCCACGAATTCTTGTGAGGCGCACGAAAAGTCCCACCAACCGTCTCCTTCTGACCCTCCCCCTCTACCGCGCCGCATCAAGTCTCACACTGCCCTATCACGCCGCGCACTACCCACCATTCAGAGATCCATCGGAGCCCTTATAACCGCTTCCCCCACAATACGCCCCGCATCTCGTGATCTATCTCTGGTCCCGCTGCTTCCAGCCGACTCGTGTGCACAAGCCCATGCAGGACCATCCAGCAGCCACTCATGTCATTCTATTGAGGAGCTATCCCGTCCTCTCGAGCATTCTGTTCCTCTTTTCGACCCATGTGCCTCTACTACCGACCCGCCGTCTGGTCCTCTTGAGCCGTTTGGCTCGCCGGCTGTGCTTTTGGCTCCTCCAGCTCTCGCCTCACTTTCCCGCCAGTATTCCTGCCCTCCTCTCTCAGTCGCTCCTTCTCTTCCCCGCCCTCCTCTCTCGATCGATGTCCATTCCTCTAGCGAGATAAGTGCAAGGGGAAGGGAGGGGAAGCAGCAGCGGCGGTGGCAGAAGCAGGCTGCAGGGAACGAGACAGAGGTGGAGGAAGAGGCGGGGAAGGAGGGGGAAGACGAAGAAGAGGTGGAGGAGGAGGTGGATGGAGAGGAGGAAGGAGGGGAGGAAGATGGAGCAGGGAAGGTGAAGCAGCGCGTTTGTCAGAATTCTCAAGAATCGCAGCAGCGAGTGCATTACAGGAGGCTGCGTGAGGCGCAACGACGGGGATGGGTGGGAGCGGTGGTGGTGGAGGGGGAGATGATGCAGCGGCTGGGCGTCTCAGCAGATCAAATCTACGCTCTCGTGTCTGGCCGGGCGGCGGGTGAGAGTGGTGGAGGTAGTGAGTGCAGCAATTGCAGCAGGTGCAATTGGCCTGTTCCCTATCTTGTGCTTCTTCACGGCTCTTCTTCTCTCCCCCCCGACAGTTTCAGCCCTTGCAAGAGGAAGGCTTTTAACGGGGACAGGGAGGGCAGCCGCAAAAGGCAAGCAGGAGGGTTAGATGAAAGGGAAGAGGGGGGTGATTGTGAGTGTAAACCGGGTGACTGTAACGATGTGACGAGGGGCTGCCCAGGCAGTAGGAGAAGCAGGTCTTCTGCTCTGTCCCTTTCTCCCTCTCCAACCATCCCTTCCATCGCAGCGCACCTCTCGCCCTCACCTGTGCTATCCCTCTCGCCCGCCCCATCCATCCCCTCGCTATTGTCACTTGGCTTTGATGCTGTGATTAGAAAGCCCCTTCGGAAACCGGCGCTGGTGGCGGCACTTCTGCCGCTTTTCAGTGCGGACACGGAGCAAGGTGAGTGTGGGCAGACAGGAGGAGGAGCAGGGGGGGCAGGAGGAGAAGAAGGGGCAAGAGGAGCAGGAGGAGAAGGGGAAGCAGGAGGAGAAGGGGGAGCAGGAGGAGCAGGAGGAGAAGGATGCAAGCAAGAGGATGTGGCACAGGGAGGGATCATGAAGAGAGAGGCGAAGGGGCAGTGGGGGGGTGGTGTGGCGCTGAGCCCGTCGGCCCTCCACAGGGCTAGCAGCAGCGCTGCAGCAGCCCTCTGGCGAGCTGTGACGTCCCCACGAACACCCAAGACTTCACGGGAACTCAAGTCCCCACGGGAACTCAAGTCCTCATGAGAACTCAAGTCCCCACTAGAAATCAAGTCCCCACGAGAAATCAAGTCCCCACGAGAACTCAAGTCCCCACGAGAACTCAAGTCCCCACGAGAACTCAAGTCCCCATGGCTCAAATCCCCCCGGGCACTCAAGTCCCCGCGGGCACCCAAGTCCCCCCGGGCACTCGAATCCCCTCAGTCATTCAAAGCCGTTCCCTTGTGCCCCTCCCACTCACCCACCACTCGCACCACTCCCACCAGTCCCAACATTCCCACCATTCAAACCACTCCTGCTACTCCCAACACTCCCACCACTCATAACACTCCCACCATTCCCAACGCTCTCAACACGCTGGGCACTGGTAACACTGCCCAACCCAAACATGCAAGCCCCATTGCAGCACCAAGCACGTCACGGCCCTCACCCACAGCAGGCAACTGTCCCTCTGCCGCTCTAGCTATGGATCCCGCACTCAACCTCCTCCCCCTCTCCCCTACTGCTGCTGCTGCTTCTGCTGCTGCTTTTGCTCGTGCTACTTCTGCTTCTGCCGCTGCTGCCGCTGCCGTTTCTGCCTCTTCTCCTTCTGCTCTGGCTGCTGCGCCTCCTGCTCCAGCTGCTGCACCTCCTGCTCCTGCTGCTCCGAGTGCTACTGACGATCATAGACTCTCGCAAGAGGCGGCTACATTGGCCCTGAGTGCAACTGACTGTGCATTGGAGGCGCAGGCAGCCCTAGGCATGTGCGGCGGAGGCAATGGAGTGGCAGTGAGGGAGGGTGCGGAGGTGGAGGGGGCAGTGTTGGATGAAATGAGTGGCTTGGATGGTGTGGATGGTATGTATGGTAGCAATGCCTCAATGGATTTAACATCGGCAACCAGTGCTACTGATGCTGCTTCGGTCAGCCTAGCGTCTACTTCCGCCGCTGCTGCTTCTGTCAATTTGACTCCTCCTGCCGGTGCTACAGGTGCTGCTTTGATCGATTCAACACCTGCTGCCTCTGCTGTTGCGAGTGGAAGTGGCATTTTGGGGAGGAAACCACTGGTGAGGGTTGGCAGTGCCGATGAGAAGGTCTTTTATTCGCCCCAGGGGTTGCAGTTGCAGTGCTATGTTCCTCAGGGGTTGCGAGCTCTGGTGAGAGGTGGCAGTACGGTGGAAGCAGCTGGGGCAGCAGCGCGTAGAGCAGAGATGCATGGGCCCAAGGGTGAAACGAGGGCAGAAAAGCATGTGTCAGCGGGTGAAAGGAGAGCAGGTGGGAGGTCAAATGGGAGTCATGGTGATCGACAGAGAAGCAGGGATGGCGCTTGCGTTTCTTCTGGTGCTGCTCCCGGTGCTGCTCCCGGTGCTGCTCCCGGTGCTGCTGCTGGTGGCTCTGGTTCTGGCGCTGCTGGTGCTGGTGCTGGTGCTGGTGCTGGTGCTGGTGCTGGTGCTGGTGGTGCTAGTGGTGGTGTTGGTGGTAGAGTGCGTGGTTTTGGAAGTGTGCTCGACTTCTCAGGGATCCCTCCCCTGTATGCTCGCCCTGCGTCATCCTCTTCCTCCGTTGCGACACTCTCCCCTGCCAACACCCGCACACCATCCCCATCATTATCACCAACACCAGCAGCTGCACTCCCACCACCAACACCATCATTCCCAGCATCATCCATAGCAGCAGCATCAGCAACAGCACCAGCAGCAGCACCAGCAGCCGCAGAAGCCCCAGCAACAGCAGCAGCAATAGCAGCAGCAGCAGCGGCGGCGGTGGCAGCAGCAACTTTAGAGCCGGCAACAGTGGCGGAGGGGCTGGCAGTGCTGTGGGATCGGCAGGTGATGGTGGTGGATGACAACCTCATCAACCGCAAGGTGGCCAGCAAGCTGCTGGAGAGGCACGGCGCGCGAGTCACCGCCGTGGATGGCGGTGCCAAGGCGCTTCAAGCCCTCACCCCGCCCCACCCCTACGACCTCGTCCTCATGGACCTCCAGATGCCGGGCATGGATGGGCTGGAGGCGACTCGGAGGATCCGAGCGCGGGAGAGGGCTCAGGGCGGAAGCCATGTGACCATCATTGCGCTCACAGCGGATGTGACTGCCGGCACGCGCCACCACTGCTTTGCTGTTGGCATGGATGACTACCTCTCCAAACCCCTCGACGACGGCCCCCTCTCCCACGCCGTCTGGCGCTGCCTCGTTGATAAATTATAGTTTGTAGATTCCGATATCGGTATTACTTCCAACCATGATATATACTTATTATTTTATAATGGTGCCTACCTTTTTTTGGTAATGTAAGTGATGTGAAAACTGTTTTCCCTTGCAGGTGGTTTCATGTGGTTTCGCGCGAGTCGCGGCGCCCGAAACGAACGTCGCTAACGTCGGGAACGCGTGAGTTGACAAGCCCAGCGCCAGGTGGTCTTCGTCACAGATGTTTCCACGTACGATTGGGAACGCTTTAGAACATTCAGAAACAGTTCTAAACCCGTTCCGCGAGGTGTTGCGAGTTTCCAGCGTGGTGCGTAGCCCGTTTTGGCGGCATGATTTGCGGCACCAAATTCTGGCTTCACCGAACTGTACCATCCAAATTCGGTGCTGCCCAGTCACATGCCGCGAAGTGGGATTTGAAGCATCAGAAGAATTCAGGATAATATTGAAGACGAGTGCCTCACTGAGGCAGCACGTTTGCCTCTTCAGCACGCCTTCTCATCTCAGTGACCGCCAACTTCCAGCTCGCAGGAACCAGTAGTTTACGGTAAGGCCACCTGGGACCGCCATCCCACATAGCGGCTCGCGAGTTTGTTGGCGCTCCCCGATTCTCGAGTAGGCTGCTCTTCTAGTTATTAAGTCACGTGGGCTTTTCTTCAAAAATCACTCTCATTTTAGCCACTGGCAGATCGAGCCATTCGTCGCAAGAATCACGTTTTATTTTAGTCTAGTACGAATTCCTTTAGCCGCCACGGCCAAGATGTCGCTGCGACCCGCGTTCGTCCTCGCTGGTGAGTTTTAAATTCGAAGACCCCGGCGCCTGTTCTTTTTCTCAAATGATGAGCTCTGGCCGTCAGGGTTTCTAACCAATTTTTGGTGGTCACTCCCTCAGCGACAATCTGCTCGGCAAATTCTGCGTGATGACCTCACCACCAATTAACAAATCAGTGAATTGTACTGCACTTATCCAGGGGTTAGAAGCGCCTATTCAGTAATTAACCTAATCTCTTCGTGCACGTACCCCTGTGCAGTGATGCTCTCTCTCACCTGCAGCGCCGTCATCGCGGAAAAGGGAAGTGCCAAAAAAAACTTTAAAATGGCTCTTTCGTAACTTTGCAGTTGCATTCGCTGCGCAAAAAAAAAAGTTTGACTCGAAAACAGTGGTAGCGTCAGTCACTTGCGAAGTGACTTTTCCGTCACCTTCCCAACACAAACTGTACACTTTGACACAATTGTGAGGTATACAGTAAAGCAACTAGGGGGGAGGAAAACGTCACTCTTGAGCAACCTATGCGAAAGTGTCACGACAACGCCACGTGGCGTACGATGTACGCTGGATGACACTGAAACATGCTGACGTGACATTTTCTGTACGCTACCGTCAACCGTCGGATCCTGACAATATTAACGCCCGTAAATGTGCCATGTGGACCAATTCGACACGAAATGGGGTGTACGGTATCGAATTTCATTGGCTGGCAATTTGATGGTTCCGGTTGACGGTTTTCCTCTATTGGTGTGCGTTTCTGGTAACAAGTAGCACATTAATTTTTACGTTCATCTTACAGGGCATACAATTTATAACAAAAAGAGTACAATTTACCCAGCAGTAATACACTACGCATTATGCACGGCTAAGAAGCCCTGCACACTCTGCCAGTTAAAAAACGAATGTAATCTGGAAGAACAAAGGAAATGGAAACTTGATAAACAAGCAATATTATATGCTCAACATTGGGGTTTTTAGTATTGGAGTATGTTGTAATGGTGAAGAATAATAATACTGCACTCATGGTTGACGGTAAGCCTGCAAAACAAGACACGCTCTGCAACACATACAAATACAGCGTGATGTTATGTATCCCAATGACATTGCTTCAGAGGGGTTAGTCATAGCAGATTTTGCTTGACACCAGTAATACTTACCCTTAGCACAGTCAATCGCGGGGGGACTATAAGCGACGACTGTGATGCGATTGCAACAGACTTAGCTGCAATCGTAAGAAGGGGTTAAATTTATACAAAACAAAAAATGAACATGACATGGCAAAAAACTAAACACATCGCGTCGCAAGTAGCGTGCATACCCTCACGGAAAATGCTGACATCCGTCAACCGAATCGGTCGACTGCCTGAGTCGGACGTATGGATCTTCGCGACAATAGCTGCTACGCACGAAACAAATATATGAAACGCCACATTGAAATGAGTATGAACCTGAAGATACCAGTTAATTAAAACTGGACGATAAAAAAATATATATACAACTTCACCTGTGAGATAACAACGGTAAACGTACCTCCGATGTTGCGTGACAATGTCCTTCCTCACCGCGACTCACGTGTACCCCAGCATCCAGCGAAGCTACTGAAGCGCGACGTTGATGGCGGAACGAAGCCGCTGTCTGAGGAGAAGAGGGATGTGGAAAAGGGACAGAGTTGGCAGTAATAAATTAAGATACTAACTTGGCTAACGCAACATAGTCAGGGCGATCTAAAACGCCACATAGTTGTCGGCTTGAAGGAACTTGGAGCGCGCTTCTGCTGTACATCAAAGGGAGAAATAGAAAGGGGGGGGGGAGAAGGAGGTTGGTTGTGTGTATTAGTACGGGGGACTACAGGCACAGAGAGGAATCGAGGGAGATGGATTCTCGAGGAAAAGGTGAGAGCATATTCGGTGGACGTTTGGTTTGCCTTGGTTGGGTGGCTGACGTGTATATTTCGGCGTATGCGGATTGGGTGTAAATGATTTTTAGGCTAACACGTCACACTTTGTCAGAATGTTATAATTATCTAGCCTGTAGTGGGGTGCTCTATAGCGAGTACAACCCTGTTAGGGTTTGCCATATATATCCCAACTGCTGCTAGTGAACCTCCTCTCTTCTTCATTCCTAATTTTCACATGCTATCAGAGCATCTACGCTCCTGGCCTGTGGGCCCACCTCACTGCTTCCGTTGCTACTCTGTGTTCGGCACGCCCCGTGGCGTGCCCCTCGCGCTACTCTTAGCGGCCCCGTTGCCGCCCTTCCCGGCCCCTCGCGGCCCCTTTGCGGCCCCGTTGCCGCCCTTCCAGGCCCCTCGCGGCCCCTTCGCGGCCTCGTCGCCGCCCCTTTCGCGGCCCGTTGCCGCCCTTCCAGGCCCCTCGCGGCCCCTTCGCGGCCCCGTCGCCGCCCCTATCGGCCCCGTCGATGCCGCCAGCGGCCCCGTCGCCGCCGCCAGCGGCCCCGTCGTCGCCGCCAGCAACCCCGTCGCCGCTGCCAGCGGCCCCGTCGTCGCCGCCAGCAACCCCGTCGCTGCCTCCAGCGGCCCCGTTGCCGCCACTTGCGGCCCCGGCCCCGCCCCGGCCATGGCCCGTCGCCAGCCGCGGCGCACCGGGGGCACGTGCACCGCCCCCCCCCCCCCCCCCCCCCCCCCTTTTCCCGTCGCCTGTCGCGGCTCCTTCGGGGACCGCGCGACCTGGGGGGGGGGGGGGGCGAGCGTCGCCCCTTCTGCCGCCTGCTTTGGCGCCCTGGGAGGCCGCGCGTCGCCCCCCCCCCCCCCCCCCCCCCCTTCCCCCCCCCCGTAACCTCCCTACCCGCCATCCCGCCCTGCCCTGTGTTAGGGTTTGGGGGTGGCGAGTGGGGGGTGGCGGGTGTGTGGTCTCCCCTGCTCCTCCTCCTCCTCTGTCTCCCACTGCTGCAGCTGCCGCTGAGGGGGGTGGGTGTGTGGGAGTCGACGGAGTGGTGCTAGGGGGTGGGGTGTGAGTGAACCTAGGGGTGCAGTAGGGGGTGTGTGAAATGGGGGTGGGATAGTTTGGGGAGGTTGAAGGGGGTGGCCGCCGTGAAGCCAGCAGCTCCAGTCGCCCGTGAGACCGTTGCGCCAGTCGCCCGTGAGCCCGTTGCGCCAGTCGCCCGTGAGCCCGTTGCTCCAGTCGCCCGTGAGTCCGTTGCTCCTACCGCTCAGAGCTAGCCGCGGAGCCAGTTACTCCAGTAGCCCGTGTGCCAGTTGCTCCAGTTGCCAGTGTGCCAGTTGCTCCAGTTGCCCGTGTGCCAGTTGCTCCAGTTGCGCCATGTGCCAGCAGCTTCAGCTGCCGCCCTCTACCTCCTCTCCTCTCATAGTCCCTCCTCCTCCACACTTGCCCTCTGCGATAGCCTCTAGCTTTGCTTACATTTGTGAACTTAAAACTGTTGCTTCTTGTACTTGTGCTCAGAATGTGTGGTGACATTGTGATCCACCCTGAGCTTGTTCTGCTTTGCTTGCTGTGCTGATTACACCCCACTTTGGCTATGGGGGTGTGTCAGAATGTTATAATTATCTAGCCTGTAGTGGGGTGCTCTATCGCGAGTACAACCCTGTTAGGGTTTGCTATATGTATCCCAACTGCTGCTAGTGAACCTCCTCTCTTCTTCATTCCTAATTTTCACACACTTCTGAAAAAGCCATCCACTGTCTGAGGTTTGGAGTTGGTTGGTTTGGGTTTAGATTTGGGAAAAATGAAAGCGGGTTTCCAGCTGTACAAACTCGCTTGGTTTCGTTGCTTCGCGTTGTTTCGTTTGTTCTGTTGTTACATTTGACAAACATTGTCAAAGTACTAAACCGCTTGTAATCTGTGTTGACCGTGCGTCACCGCATGACGCAAAAATGTTGACGGAATGGCAACTTTTGCGTGACAGTTTAGTTTCAGTCAAACCCCTCGAAACTGGTGTGCGGATTGTTGCATTTTGCGTGCGTTGTTTTTTGTACACTTCGCGCAACTAAGTCGCAGTTTTTTCGCAGAAAAACCTTCGGACCCCCCAAATCGCAAATTTCCTTTTCCGGGATGGTCGCCGGCCGCCATCTGCTTCAAACTGCCAACACTTTCTATACGGCAGACTAATCTTGCTGCTACGACTTTCTTGTTTAAGCACTCTCTACTTGTCTGCGTCATCTTTCTCTAAGAACCATCATCATGTTGAGTAAACGAAGGGCAGCCCTATGCTCCTCCGCTTCCTGCCATGATTCTGTCATTACTCCCGTTTTTTGAGA